GCAGTGGGGGTAAAGAAGTATATAACATACCCCTTTTGGAGTTTAAGAAGGGACAGATGACCGAGCAAACTAAGACGGGCAGTATGCCTAAAGCCATAACGGTCGATATGGCATTGTTAGGGCCGAGCTTTACTAAAGATTCATAATTTCTCTTTCTAAATCTATATAGTGAAATCGATTTAAGACCTTGTTAAATGAAGCTTAAATCGAACAGGGGACGCGGTCCTTCACTTGATATTTGGATTTCTCTTTATTCACGTCTAGTCACTCCTGGTAGATGATAGATGATAATTGCTTTTGGGAAATGTACATAATAACCTAGATATACTTGAGTACATCCGTCCTCTCTCTGTATTCTATAAAAATGAAATACCGTAAATCCTCTTCTAGCCACCCCATCTTTAAGAACACCCCCTTTTCCCCCAATTATTGTTCACTAATAAATGTTAATTTATTGGGATCAATCAACCACAAATGTAAAACTTGGAAGTTCGGTTTGATTCGGATTGTCGGCTACATGACCTCCAACTTTCTTTTACTTGAGTTTTTCTACTTTGCGGTCTAGTCCCTTTGGAGAATATATACCATCTTGTTATCTAAATTAAATAACCCGCCCCCCCCACTCCCGTCTCTATTAAGCCCCTCCTCAAGTGACCTTGAAAGAAATAAGCTCCTGGTGAGGGCTCAATAGAGGATTTACGGTATTAACCTAACTGTGTGGCGTTTTGAAAAGGTTTTGCTTGGTTTTGACCCCCAAGGATTGGAACTTCGCCTGAGCGCAAACTGGGTGGATATACTTTTCTTATTTTGGCCATCTGGCTTCCAGGAATGTGTGGAAGATCAAAGTTTTGCGTTCTAGTGTTGCCTAAAATATGCAAGTGAAGAACAAAATAAGAAGAAATGTACATTTCAGGCACATTGCTCGCTGGGCGCAATTATTAGACAACGGCAGTGCGATCTCGTTCTTTGAACTTCTTTGTGATAATTAATTCAAACCAGTTTCTGCCAAAAAAAGGCGGATATTACTAGGGGTAAAATCATAGTGAACGAGATAGGAAAAGACAGTCCTTCCTATTCGTGTAACGTCAAGAATCAAACTGTGAATTTATTTGATTTTTCGGTTATTATTTATTATTAGCAGATTTCAATAGTTATAACAGATTTTGCCTTTGGTTTTCATCTGTATTGTGCACTGAGTGTAAAAGTGCCAATTTAAAAGTCTTCTATACCTTTTAGACTTTTAAATAGAGATAAGTTTAGTTTTCGTCCACATGTATTTTTCGGAGTGGTAAAAGTGAGTGTTCCGAAAGAAGTACTTTGAGACTAATAAAACAGAGTCATAATTAGAAGTCACAATGTCAAGGGGACGTAATTTTTCAAAACGTCTTATTACAACGATGAATATAATTATATTTAAAAATTAATTTACGACCCAGTCTTAATTATCATATTGACTCCATAAATCAACTTATTTAAATAGACTTACAATCAATCAATTTGACTGAATATCGGCATTAGCGAAATCGATTTAACCATAAATATACTAAGCTTTAAATCAAAACTAAATTCAACCAAATTCAACGAAATCTTAAATCGATTTAACCTTAATTTAACTAAATAAGTCTTAAATAGATTTAAGCTTAAATTGATTATTTAACGACTAAGTCTTAAATCGATTTAACTGTAAATAAGTCTTAAAAGTCTCTAAGTCTTAAAACGATTTAAGAAATAAACGGCTAAGTCTTAAAAAGATTTAAGCTTATATAGATTTAACGACTAAGTCTTAAAACGATTAAGCTTAAATCGTTTTAAGAAATAAACGACTAAGTCTTAAAACGATTTAAGCTTATATCGATTTAAGCTTCAATAGATTTAACGACTAAGTCTTAAAACGATTTAAACTTAAATCGATTTAAGCTTAAATAGATTTAACGACTAAGCTTAAATCGATTTAAGAAAAAATGGATTTAACGGCTAAGTCTTAAAACGATTTAAAGCTTAAATCGATTTAAGAAATATACTGAGTCTTAAATCGATTTAAGCTTAAATCGATTTAAGAAATATACTAAATCTTAAATCGATTTAAGCTTATATCGATTTAAGAAATAGACTAAGTCTTAAATCGATTTAAGCTTATATCGATTTAAGCTTAAATAGATTTAACGAGTAAGTCTTAAAACGATTTAAGCTTATATCGATTTAAGCTTAAATACATTTAACGACTAAGTCTTAAAACGAGTTAAGCTTATATCGATTTAACGACTAAGTCTTAAATCGATTTAAGGTTATATCGATTTAAGCTTAAATACATTTAACGACTAAGTCTTAAAATCGATTTAACTATATAGATTTAGAACGATTTATTTTAATTTAAAGTTATGTATTTTTATTAAAAAATTATATAATGCTGTTTGTTTTCATTATGCCAGCCGCTGATAAATATTTTTACCCTGTTAAATAAATTTACGTAGTTACGTATTTTTATTTATTAAGTTTATATAACACCCGATGGCCAGCTGCTGATAATGATCCCACTTTTGTCCCTATTATTATAGTTATATAATTATTATACATGTAGATCTTGATTTTACAAGGAGCAGACACAAAACCACACTAGCAGAGACAACTATTGATTAAGAGGCAAGTATTTTGAAATGAAATATCTTACATATTCTATTTTGACTCTGACACGAACTAACTTGCCTGTAAATAATTTACATGCATAGTCAACTTAATCCATGTCAACAATTATTGTTTATACACTCATGTTTTGTCAAAGATGTAAAATGTTGCCAGGTATCCATGATGGAAAGTTTAAATCTTCCTATTAAATATTAACATAGCTAGCTCTATCCACTCTTTGGGAAATATTTTCTGTGAATGTTTATAAGTCAAAGTGACACAGCCAAGGTTCCCAGCTAACTTCACCATAGCCAAATGACTGACACTTAATTGTGCTTTATAAATTTATGACATCAGCATTTCTTGTGATCAGACCAGCTGGAGAAATTGGTTTACTTTCCAATATACATACATTCTTCTTCAGTTTTAAAGAAAAAGATGCTCGAACTTATAACAGATGTGAAAACATTTAGCTGAAGAGTCATTTACAGATGCTTGTTCAAATGTTTGAGTCATGCTGTTGGAAGATAAAATTTATGTAAGGTGCGTACACTCAAACGCAGACGCATATGCACAAATTGCACATAAGCATTAAGCATTCTGCCACATGCACATTTTTAAATGGTTGTTTCCGAACTGCACTCTATAGCTATACTCTATAGGTATATAGTGCAACTGTGAAATTAAAGACAATCTTTCAGCCAAGAGCATCATCCCCTTATATACAAGCAGTCAAACCCCATTTTTTGTACACCTACTTAATGAAGACAGCTCATTAAAACAGACAGTTTGCTCTGACCCTGGGGAAAGAAAGTCGTTACCCTTACAATATCTCTTTCAACCTACTTGATATGGACAGCCTGTTAATAAATACACTTTCTATGGCCCCCAGCTTAGTGTCCGTATTAACAGATTTGACTGTACCAGCAAGCAGGGAAGGGGTTTAAACTCTGATCAATAGAAAGCAAACACATCTTTCCATGCAATTCTTTATATCCTGCAGTACAAATTGCTGAGTTTCATTTTTCATGGTTTCATCTAGCTTCATCCTTGACCAGGTTATAACATGAATTATTACATTCACTTAAAATATTTCTCTTTTTCTGATTGGCTAAAATCACAGGCATATTAATTCATCATAACAAGCTACTGTTCGACTAAATTTGGAAGAATTTTGCCATTATTGAAATGATGACATCACGAGTGCAGGAAAGTTGCAGATTATTAAACCATTAACTGAGAAGACCTGAGGACGAGGTTGAGTAAACTTGTTTTGGTAGTGAGAACAAAAATGGAGGAACATCGTTTCACCAGCAAGAAATAGACAAACTATTGGCTAAAAACATAGCAAAAACAGCAAGAAGACAACTTGAAGGACAACATCTGCTATTTGGAGAATATTTGCATAGCTGAACAATCTTTTATCTCCTAAACTGGCCGATTAATGTGCAATATCAAAAATGCATGAACTTAATATTGATGGGAGGTAAGCATGTTTTAGCTTGTTTTTAAACTAGGAATTAAATTGAATGAATAATAAAATAACCATTGATTTCAGCTTTCATATCATCTGAAGAATTATGGAGGTCCAGGAGGGTGATGATACTCAGCCTCATTCAATAATTGAAAATTAACTACATAACCAGCTCCCAGTTGCCTTGCTAGCTTAAAATTGGTAGAGCACAATTCAGGGTTAATCAGGCTCATAATCTCTAATTAATCAGTAGTCCTTAACTCACTCACATGATATTTATATGTACTCACTGAATTGCACTCCACTTAGTCCTGCATAGCCACACCTTTAACTTAATACCATTTATAGTGTAATCCTGGATGACAGAAACAAGAAAAGCATATTGTATTAGTTGTCTTGAAAAAGGTCCAGGTGAATTTCACAGATATAATGTGCAATATTTTCTCTCTGAACCACTTTTATAATCATCTGTTTTCATAAAACAGGGCATACGGTAAGGATTCAATAAATAATATTGATATTGTTTGCCTTGTGGTGATCAAGTCTTTTGATTGGGGAAGGAATATTTGAATCTTTTCACACCTGACTTAAAACACTTTACAATTGTCACAACTGACCATCCAGATGATTCCTGACATTAATAATGAGAATTTCACATTTAATCCAAACTATCCAGCCAGATCCGCAAATCCTAACTAGTGTGCATGGAGGAGATAGTTTTTCCAAAACAAACAACGACGACAACAAAAAACTCCTGAACAAAGCATAATTATTTCATTTTAATTTTCCACTGACTGGTGCGACAATGGTCCAGCCGGCCAGATCTGACAAGTGAAAAATGCCCTGGGAACAATTGAAAGTCAACTTGGACTAAACAGCCTGAGATCACTTCCTGAATGTGCCATTCTTTCAGTCCTTTCAATCATGAACTGAGTTGTAACAGTTTAAATAGTCCATGACATCAGACAAAATTAAAGGTGAGTATATTTTACATACATACAAAATACATACATACATACAGTGAAATGCCGCAAATAAGAAGCTATATTT